CTTCAAAGCACAAAATTTCTTTATTTTCTTTATGAGTTTCAGTTTGTTTCTTCTATTATTGTGTGTGCTTTTGATGTTGTATCTAAGAAACCACTGCCAAATCCAAGGGCATAAAGATTTACCACTGTTTTCTTCTAAGAGTTTTTTAGTTTTAGCTCTTACACTTAGGTCTTTAGTCCATTCTGAGCTAGTTTTTCTGGATGGTGTGAGGTAGGAGCTTGACTTCATTACTTTGCATGTGGATATGCATTTGTTTCATCACCATTTGTTGAAGAGACTGTTTTTTTCCCAGGGAATGCTTCTCAAGGGCAACATTTTCAGAGGCAACCCCAATGTTTTGCCGTTTAGTAGAAGACCCATAAGCAGAGAAGGAAACCGATGTTTACTGAGCCCCCAGTGTCCGAGTCACAGGATCCTCCCAGGCAAGGTTGGCGATTCCCAGGCGTATCCATTGCCAGTCTCCTTTGTGTGCCCCCGACAGGAATTACTGCTCAATCACGGCACACTGGCTAAGCCTTGATGGCTGCCAGAGCTGACATGAACGCATGGTGTCCCAGGAGAATCAGTTCAGGAGGAATGAAAACACTGAGGTTAACTTGGGGTGTGTTGAGTTTGTTGTGCCGTGGAGATGTGTAGACGGAGCTGTGGTAACGTTAGTTGGATTAAAATGATTGAAGCCCAGACCAAGGGAGACATCTGGGCTGGTGAGTGTGACTTGAGACTTTGGCGTACAGATAGGAGCAGATCCAACCTCCTCGAATGAGTAACAAGGCAGGACAACCTACGGTTGACCCAGGGAGTCCGATGAGGCCACAAATGGGACTGCATGGGATGGGCTGAAGAGGTGCCAGAAAAACCAGGACAGAGTGCTGGCAAACAAACCAAGGGTAAAGGGCGATTCAGGGAGGGCTAATGATGGTGTCAAATGCTGTGAAAAGTGTGGGACGGTGCAGACTGGAGAATGTCTCTGATTATCGTGAGAAGGATGTTGTCACCTCAGCAAGTGCTGTTTCAGAGAGACAGAGGAGGTGGGGAAAAGATGCGATGGCCTGAGTGTGAACTGGGTGTGAGCAAAGACTCGTGTGGGTGAAATCTGATGAGCCAGAGCTAAGTCTCAGAAAACCAACATGATTATTGTAATGTCTTGGAATTAAAAAAAAATCTGAGGTCAAATAAAATGTTCAGTTGATCGTTAGAAAAAACATCCGAGGGAAGATGAGCATGTGCGTGTCTGCCTGATTCAGTCCTGCGTGTACAACATCAACCCAACTGGATCGCTGTCTGAGGCAGACCCTGCAGAAATGAAGCCTACCTGGTGGGGGAAAGTTAGTTTCAAGGGCAGGCCTTGCTAAAGAATACTGGCAGATGAAGCACAGCATCCCTAAGCTGTCTTTCTCATGGGAGATACCATGTGGTTACCTGCATCAGGAATCCAGAGTGCTTTAAACATGTTAATCCCTGGGGTGCATCCTAGACCTACTGGACCAGGATCTCATGATGTAAGACCCAGCTTTAATAAACTCTTCAGGTTTAGAAAGCTTTAGAAAGCATTTGCCCAATGGACGGCTGATGATGTGGATACATTCCAGTCGTTCCATTCATAGGATTCTCCAGCAGTTTCCGGATATGGTGAACTAGAGACCGATTAAGAACTTTGCCTACTGGGCAATTTCCTGGAGCCACCATCTATAGATGGGTTAAAATATTCCTGAAATAAATAACCACAAATTGGATCCACTTCTGTCAAAACAGAGAACAGGGAAAAAACTCTTTATTTGCCGCAAACTGTCTTGGAATATTTTTAGGAGGAGCACAGGTGACCATTGGCTAAGATTTTGCAACTGCATTGTCTATAGTTCAGTGTTTCTCACTTGGAATTAGTGACTTATTTTATTATTTAAGTCTTAAGTCATTTAATGTTTCCTTTAAGTGTCCTGATTTGAAAAATTGCCGCAAACAACAACATCAAGGAAAAATTCCAAACTCAAACCCACCCACCGACAAGCATAAGAGCTATGTAGAGACCGGGGCCATATTGCTTACACTGATCAAAAAATGGCCACTGTCCTGGCTAGTGGAAGTCATTAGGGAAATTTCTGTCTCAGCCTAAAACATTCACTAGCAGAAAATTAGTTTCACCTCATTCCACTAAATAAATGTGGAACAAAAGATGCAAAATACTGGTTTGAGGACGTACAAAATCATTCACTTGTCCGGATTCCCATCAACCTTGGGTGAGTCCATATGTAATCCTGACTATCTGGAATTATTGAATTAAACAACTGAAAGGGGTTCAATTCTAAAAAATATTTACTGAGTGCTAATAAAAGACAAAGTTTCTGCCAGCATTAAGTTAACGTGAGCAAGACAGATATTAAGTATTTCAAAAATACCATTGCACATATATGTACTATATAACTTCTGTCAGGTGAGGCTTGCATGTTAATGGACTCATGATAAAATGTTCTCAGAATACATGGTATATAACCGAATAAAGGACATGTTAAGTTGCAAGAGCATGAAAAAATGTAAAAACTTAGCATTCATAGATTTCATTTACTTTGAGTTTTAAGGAATAAAAATATTGGAAACATAACATACTTTGAATTTTCAGAATCATCCCAAATTTTCATAAAGTTTTTTATTTGGGAGGCTATCCAAACCTTAGTCATGACTAACTAGCACAGTCCATAAATTAAACATCACTTTTATGTTTTCCAGGGCTAATATTGGAGGACTGGTTAAAATATTACTGTGGACAAAAGTGCTAACATGTTTTAATACCTACCACGAAGCTGTTAGTCAGAAGTATTAGCCTAGACCATTTCAATTGTTCACTTGTTTCCATCATATAAATAATTTACATCTACTTTGCTCTGATAAAGGGACATAGTAATCTTTATCAATTAAATTTCTCTTATTATTCCTATTATTACTCAGTCAGTATTAAACTATTGAACCAGATATGCCTCATTTTGGCATGAAAATGGGTTCCTAAAATGAATGGTGTTCACCCTGAAACACAGGGCAGAACATGCACGCTCCTAATCTTTGGCATTAATCTGGAATTTAAAAATCCAGATACTTTTATAAATTACAGATGTTTAAGTTAGTATGTAAGTGATGAAATCCACAAGCTCTGAGCATTATGGAGAACACAGGAAGAGCCTTTACAGTTCAGAGGTGCCGTCACCTGTTAATTCTCGGGTGGGTGGTTTTGGCCTTTTAGAGATTAATCAACCAGATCCCCTGACTTGGAAACTAGGGTCTTGAACTAGCACAAAATACACCGGGAAGCCTGATTTAGGAGCTTGGCCGTCTCCCGTCTCCCGTCTCCAGGAATGGGCTCACACAGAGGGATTTCTTCCTGTGGAGGTTTTATTTCTCACATGGAGCCGGGAGGAAAATATTCAGGCACATTCTACAGACGTGGTGAATAGACTGGGCTTTGAATTACAAAGACCAGGGTTGGAGTCCTGATTCTGTAATCACAGGTTGTGTGACTTGGGCAAGAGGTCAAACCTCTCTGTGCCTCTGCTTTGTTTCTATAAGATGGAGTCCACTTCATGGGCATGTTGTAAAGATTCAGTGAGAAAACATATTTTTTCAACTGATACGCCATGAGCATGGCTGTGTGATATCACTGAAAGGCAATGACTAAAATCAATACATATATACTCTTTTTTTTAAAGGAAACTTTACCGATTTAAACATACGTTTTGCATACATTATTAAAAAGTTTCCAGAGAAGCAGCAAACTCCTTCTGGAGCAATGCCATGAGATTCTTTTTTTTTCTTTTAACATTTTTTATTGATTTATAATCATAATGCCATGAGACTCTCGTCACTAATTCAGGAAGTGAAACACACAAGCGGAAGCTGTCTGGTTCTGTAGAACCAGGCCAATTTGTTCAGCTCATGGGAGGCAGCGGTGTCGAGAGTGTGAGCGTCACTGTCCTCCTTTCCTTAAATGTAGCCGTGGTGGCTCTGAGACGGGGGAAGAGGGGCCCTTCTGGGCCTGCTGGTCTCCCGAGGGTGCTGACCACTGGCAGGCGACTGGGTGGCTTCACTTCCGGGGCCCCGAGATGAATGGGGCTTAGAGCAATCGTGAAGTCCTCTCGAGGGGTTCTGGGAAGGAAGAAGCCCACCCAGACAGGGCTCTTGGGCTCCCACTGTAGTAGACGCACTTCTAGAGACCAGTGGGAAGCGCAGCGCAGCTCAGGAGAAGCCCAGAAATGAGCATCAGAGTGAGTACCACACTGGACACAAAGGTGACCTTGTTTCTCATCTTCGGTGTAGATTCCCAGAGTGACACAGGGGTGGGCTTCAGGGGTCAGTCTAAATGAGGCTTCAACTCCAGAAATCTGGGGCTACGGGCTTTTTATTGTTTAATCAGAAACCTCATTTTGAGCGGAAAAACTAGCAACTTGTACTTAGGTAAATCCGTTCTCAGAGTGGTGGGAAAACCGACTTGGTTTGGGTTTGGGGGGAGGCTGGTTGTTTCATGCAGACTTTGAAGGGCACCCTTGGATTTCAGAAGCAGGTGCAGCCAGACTGCTTCGTGGCTTGCGGCTTCTGAGTCATTGCCCATGCCTCTGGTGAACCGCGTCACTGCTCAGGCATGGCACCCTGTGCTCCGTCTGTGTTTGGGATGGAATCTGCACAAATATTTGTTGACTGAGTCTGCTGTGCAGACACTATGCTACGTGCTGGAAAGGCAGAATATGGATGAAAGTCTGATGTCATGGAGCTTCCACACTACAGGTAGTTGATCGCATAGAAGATTTTTCCCCTTTAACTTCTCCTTGTCTTGTAACTGACTTATCTACCTGCCAAAATTCAGAAACCTGTTTTGAGATGTATTAGAGAGATGTGAATTACCTTCTTTGGGTACAAATCCATTTCTTTCCTGGAGTCAATGTAATAATACCTTTTATGACATCTGATGGTTCCTGAAAATCAATAAAACCAGTCGATGGTTAATGTTTGACTAAAGGTGAAGGGAGAGGCTGGGGAAGCAGAGCCGTGCAGAGGGAGTGTCCCCTGGGGAGATACTCAGATCCTAGCAAGAGTCTCAACAGCCGAATGGAAGAAAATAATTTTTAACAACCATTTTGTTACTTACTTCCAGAAAGGTAAGGGTTGACGTGTCTTAACTCTATCTGTAACATATTTCTTTGAGAGTGACAGAATAGATGGTGGAGGGGGATACTTAAAAGGACAGATCTGTTCCTTGAGGGGTGCTATGTAGCATTTGCTGGGAAGGGAAGTTTATTCCTGGTGTGACAACTTTTGCTTACGGAACCTAATTTCTTTTCTCATTTTCTTTTAATCAGTCTGTATCTTTTGTAAATTCACTTGATGAAGTGGTTTGGATTGAATCAAGCCTGGTAGTGGAATTAAAGGAAAGAACAAGGTTTTGGATGTTTACATGTGTATTACACCCCTTCTTTGTACTTAAAACATCAAAGTGTCTCGCCCCGAGATGCCCCTGGGGGCTCGTGTTCTAGAAATTGGGGCACATTCTCACGAAGTGTCGTCTCTCAGATGTGATCTTCAAAAGCATTCTGTTTACTTCTCAGACTCAAATCAGAGTGAGATTTGTTTTGGGATTCTTAAGACTGTCCGGGAGACAGTGGTGGAAGGGAAATGCATAGGAGAAAAAAAGCCCTTTCTTAAAAAGCAGTGGAAAAAGAATTAAAAACAGACGGACAGATCTGCCTTCCCAGTTGGGAAAGCAAGGTTGATGTTTGTGTTGGTCAGATTCAAGTCTTTCTTTCGGTCACAGTGGTGGATGTACCATCAGCTACTGAGTGGTTATTTTGAGATGTCAAGACATGTGCTGCTTATGGGCGCCTTCAAAGGTCCAGCCCCTGCCTCTGTCTCAGTTTTTTCTTCACTGTGGATGACTTTCTGGGAGCAGATGCCTGCTGTGATGAAGGCAGCCAAGCAGGAGATTGGAAGGGCAATGCATTTACTAGTATTTTCTCATTGTTATTTTTCTTCAAAAACTTAGATAGCAAGGGAGGAATAATTTGAAACAAGGAGAAAGCACATGTTTAGATGACACAGAAAATAGATGACATTCAACTCTCACCAGGAAACCAAATGTGTCTTGCTGAGTGAGGGTTTATCATGGATCACAGGGTGTATGGTTTATGAGTCTTCAGGGCTGGGCTGCTGGGTTAGGCCAGTTTCATCGTTTACCAGCCAGCGAGCACTGAGCAGATTGCTTAAGCTCCCTGTACCTTAATTTTCTCATCTATGAGATGGAGGTTACTTGCCTAACCAAGTTGTGAGAGTAAATTAGATAAGCCTGTAAAGAACTCAGAGCATTGCTTCACACACGATAGACGTTCAATGAATGTTATAACGCTCCTTTTCATGAGGAAGTTCAAGTAGGCGACTTAGGTCAAATTGACAAGTTACTGTTTCAGTCTCTAGGGAAAAAAAAAAGCCATCATAATGCTGTGATAACTACACCTTCTGTTGTGTCAGGGAGGAACTAATTCTACACCAAAGGAGTGAAGTGCAGCAATAAGAGAGAATGAGAAAACATTTGGGTTTTGCTTTTTGCCTTAATGAGGCAATTTAAAACCCCACTGACATTGCACATGTATGTCTTCTGGTGAGATGTGGGCATGGCATCCTTTGAAACTTGCTACTTCGACCCCCGGGAAAAATCCTCGTCAGTCAAGGTGAAGATTGCACTTGCAGTACCTCCTCCCTTCTTTCACGAAAGGCGTAATGTATTCTGGCAGCAACTCAGCTTCCTGTTCCATTGTCAAAGGAATTCTCTGGAAAGGAGAGTGTGCCCACTTTTCTTCAAGAGAGAAGACATGTCGAGAGAGATGACTCTGGGAGGAAACCCGAGCATCACTGTGTTCCTTTCTCCAGAGGCCCCCGGATGAGTGCTTTTAGGGGGGTTAGTTTACATGGACAGAAATATATAGATTTATTTGTTAGTATAAAATTATGCTACTCCAGGCATCCCTTGTATTGTTTATTTATTTTTAAAAAATCATTTATTTACTTGTTTTTGTGCAAGGAGGTAATTAGGTCTATTTACTTATTTTTAGAGGAGGTACTGGGGATTGAACCGAGGACCTCAGGCTTGTTACGCACGAGCTATACCCCTCTCCCCTCTGGTGCTGAATTTAGAAGGGGCTGGCTGTTCTGCAGTCTCCTCATTGATTAAACAAGGAAAGAGGTTTTGAGGTCTGTTAGGGGCATATCAATCTACCTGTTTGTTCCTTGTGAGAACAAATAGGGATGTTTACCTAGGTACAAGAAATATTAACTTAATAAAAGCAGATATCCACCCAGTGGTTGAGGTTTTAACTATACTAAAGATGATTTTTCACTTAAGCGTATAAAACAGACCAAGCTACACTTGGTTATTGTCTATGTGGTACAAAGAAAACTCAATTTCTCTTAAGAATATTCTATGAGACTGACATTGAATTCTCTCTTCCATGATGTTCTGAATCAATAGTTTCTTACCATATTTTGAAAACATTAGGACTTGTGCTTTTGAGTAAGGCACGAAGAGAAATCAAAAGGGCAGATCTGCGCTCTTAAAGAATGTTTAAAGCGGAGCCTGTGCTCCTCGCATGGAGGATTCTGTGCTCGTCTGTGCAGTCAGAGTAATCACACCGCTTCCTCAACCTCACTGAGCTGTTTCCTGCCCTGTCGGATGACAGAGGGGACCTGCCTTACAGGATTACTGTGAAACTTACACAGGGTTTTCAAAATACTTAACTTAGCTTTTTTTTTTTTAAGTTTCAATTATAAGAAACTAAACTCATGGGTGAGATTTCATAGAGATCTCTTCTTAAGAAGAGGTGTCTTGTTTCATGAAGATAGATTACATTCACTTTCCCCTTACTCTCTTGTCCATCCCAGTTGTCAGTTATGATTAAATTACAGAAATCAGGAAGTTACCCTGCCGCGTTTGAGTATGGCTGTGTGTTGGTCATTGGAACCTTTGCCTCAGGGTCACCTTGTAGATGAACGAGTATTACAGCAAGTCTTTGGTTTTGTTTTGCTTTAAATCTCAGTAGTTAAATCGTTTGGGATGAGATCTAACCTAAACTTGTCACCTCATACCAAATTTCTAAGACTAGGGTGCATAATGTTATTATCTTGACAAAACACTCATCTGTGCACTTTATAATACACAAAGAAATATGGTATAACACATGAAGAAACACTTTGTCAAAAATCATTAAGCCGTTTTGTTGAGAAGTGGTGGTTCCAGTCCTCCTCTTTAAGCCAGGAAAGGCCCGTGTGATGCTGTTCTGCCGGATGTGGAGGAGAGAAGGTCCTCCCCCAGCCCGCCTCGGAGGGCTTCTGAGGTGTAAACCTGGCACCTCGGGGAGCTCAACGCCCGCATCCTTACCGCCAACCTGCTTCACACGTCCGAGGAGCATCGTGGCGGAGTAGCCGTCTGTGTCCCGTGTGGCCGCCCCCTTCCCTTTGACCTCATCTTGAACGCACTTCCACTCAGGGCTAGGACATCCTGTGGCCCCATGCGGGGAAGGCTCCTCACCCCAGCTGCCCCTCCCCTTGCTCACAGTGGGGGTATGCTGGGTGGGACAACGGCCAGCCAGGAGGAAGCGTGAGCCCACTTCTCAAAATATGCCTTAGAACTCATTATTTTCTTTAATAAAAGTAACTGGGGACAGGGTATAGTGCAGTGGTAGAGTGCATGCCTAGCATGCACAGGGTCCTGGGTTCAACCCCCAGTACCTCCATGAATAAATAAATAAATAAATAAACCTATTCACCCCCCCCAAAATAAATAAATAAAAAGGTAAAAAAAAAGAATAGTTATGCCAATAATTTGCATGTAAATCAATTATATAAATTTACAATATTTTAAGAGGAGCCATCCATCCTCATGTGAACCTGTTTTCCTGTCCATGAACCTGTTGATTAATAACCACCCTCACTTTCCCATCTGTGTAAATCCAGATCTTCATGTGCTGAGAGATGGGCATGTCTCTACTGCAAAGTTTCCTGAGAGAATAAAGCATTTACATTTATGTGTGTGTGGGGAGAGGGGATGACCCACACTTTCTTTTCCTCTCTCCCTCCCTCCTAATCATTTTGATGTGAAGGCAGCAGCCCAGATCTTATGCCTGTCTATTTGTTTCTAGCTTATTAATGGCCACTTTAATTGGGTCCCTAATTTGTCAAGAGTGCAAACTGGTCAGATCCTCTTGTGATTTTTCTGAACCTTAAGTGATATAACTGTGCCAGGGGTTTGCGAATGAGCCGACAGAGATGGGCACGATTGATCTGAACATCGCTTGATAAACAATGATGTGAGCAAGCTTTTACCCTGCTCTTTATTCATATCTGGCCTCGCTGTATAATTTATGCTGCTCTTAGCGCTATACAATGCAGAGGGCAACTAAGTGGCACCCGGGACGTTTGGCGCTGTTTGGTCCTGATGGTGTTACGAATTTTAGTCACGTTCTTTCCTGGCCACATCGCCTGTAATATTTGGAAACAAATTTTGCAGTCCTCTCCTTCTGTACCATCTTTGTTTGTTGGAAATGTATGGTTCAACCTTAGAGCATGGCAAATTATTTTAATTCAAAACCCTTAATTTTTTTAGAAAACAAAAAGGATGAGCAATGACTGACTCTACGGAAGGTTTGCCTATCACTTAACTTTTTGCAAGGGGAAAGAAATCAATGCTCATGTATTGATTTGCTTGCAGGTTTTGAGACCTGGGACGTAGAAATTCCCTCCTTACTCAGATAAATGGGGAAATGATTAAAGAGTGTCTGAAAATGGCTCTTGGAAGAATTGGAGCCCATTAGGAGAATCAGTCAGGCTTCGAGTGGACTCGTTGGGATGCTGTGGGCACTGCATTTAGAATAACTGAATAAAGCCCCACCAGAGGCCACCTGTATCCTGAGACGGCAATGCCTCTGTCAGTCAAAACTAGAGTGCTTGATACATTAGCCAGGGCTGCCGTGACAAAGTACCGCAGATGGAGGACACCAGTCGTACCGGACTGGGGCTCACCCTGAAGACTTCATTCTAACTTCATTACCTCTGTAAAGACCCTATCTCCAACAAGATCACATTCTGAGGGAGGGAAGGTACAGCTTAGCATGCACAGGGTCCTGGGTTCAATCCCCAGTACCTCCATTAAAAAAAAGAAAAAGACAGAAGACGATGCGCTGTAGGAGTTAAATCTCCTAGGCTGACCTTCCTCTGAGAGGGCGGAGTCAGGTCAGCCTCTGAAGAGGAAGAGCAGCCATGGAGCGGAAAAAAAAAACTTTTGCATTTTTGGAAAGCTATACAACAGATGGAATGACACTAGATGTCTTGTTTGTGAGAATGTGTGTGCTTTCAGAGGGAGAATAATACATGAGTAAGAGCACAAGTGTGAAATTAGCCAGGCAGTGTGAGCTTGAACAAGTCTCATAACTTCTTTGACCCTCAGTTTCCGATTTTTGATCTTTACGAGAGAAATTTTAATGCTTCATAGGGCTCTTATGAAAAATCAGTAAGATAATTATAGAGGAGTCTCAGCATGTGCTGACAACGGGTTTTCAGTAAATGTTAGCTGCTTTTGTGTTGTCATCTTGGCTGGACACAGATTCAGGACATGGAGGGGTTTCTGGGCTCCCCTGAACAAAATGAAGGCATCAGCCCCAAGCTGCAAGGCCAGAGCCCCGATTCCATATTTACAAACGGTCCGCAGTTAAAGCAAGTGGTGGTAGCTTTTCAAAACTGCCCCCACTCCCCCCAGACCTTTGACCTGTGTTGCTAAGGATGTTCTTGGCCTCTTAGATAGTTGCCATAGAAACTGTCTGAATTTCGTCTTTGTACCTGAGGGAAACCCTGACAAATAGCAAAAATTCCCGGCTGATGGTGGGATCAAGTACTTCAGGTAGTTCAGATAAAATGTCACTGAATTATCTGGAAATCTACTCCAGTCCTTTTCCGAGTATGTTTGTGCAATAATCCATCACATGCGTATGGCTTGGTGGGTTTAGGCAGTTCCAGTTATGAATTACGGTTTCCCTGTGGCATCATTATTATGATCCAGGCTGTGACAGTCATTAGTGAAATTACGCCCGTGTGAAAGAGGAAATATAGGAAGGACTTGTTTGAGAGACAAAGTCCTGTTCGGGCACAGTCCTAGCAGGGCAGTGGGTTGCTTTGGATCACTCAGAAAGGGCTCTGCGAGGCTGCTTCATTTGGCCGTGGGGATGTGGCTGCAAAGCTGCTTCGTGAGTACTCTCAATGCCGGGGCCATCGACACCCGGGAAGCCCGGGAGAGGTCCTGGAGGGCGATGTTTAAAGTTCTGACTGAGCAAACCTGGGTGGCAGAATGAAGTTTTACTTGACGAACACTGTTCAAAATGTTAACTTATTGAGTACCACAACTCTCGGAGGTGGGCACTATTTCCTGCTTACTTACAGATGAGTAGACACCAGGCCCTGGGGGAGACAGGACCCAAACTAGCCAGTCTGACGACAGCACCGTGTGGTACATTTGTCCACAGAGCAGTCATGGGACCCTAGCATGGGAAAGCAGTTACTTCCGTTTCCCACCAGAAACCCCTCCATGAGGGATCAAACTAACTGCAAACGACAAGATAAAGGATGAGTGCGTTGCTTCGTTTACTTTTCAGTTTCCTTAAAACACCCCAGACAGTCACCTGTCTGAGCATCTGACTAAAATAAGACATTTATTTTCTTTTTTTGCTTCTCTATCATTCAACTTACACATCTTTGGGAGATTAAAAAAGCTAAAAAAATCATTTCAAGTAGAGATGATATATATCAACTAGTTCTTAACCTATTTACTGAGCAGAAACCTGTTAGTGTATTTAAAAGAAAAATAATCCTTTTTGTCAACAATAAAAATGTATTACTCTGTATCAAAGTCTTTAAATCTCAGATTAATTTCCTGTAACATTTTCTCTTTATTCTGAAAGCTCTTCTAGATTGGATGAATTCATAAGATATCAATGTTAGACAATCACAAATTTTGTAGAATTTAACAGACATCTGTTGAGAGCTTAATGTATGCCAGCCATAGTGTGAAGAGCTCTGAGAGATTAAAAAAATAATTGGGGGAAGGTGGGTATAGCTCAGTGGTGGAGCACATGTTTAACATGCACGAGGTCCTGGATTCAATCCTCCATTAAAAACATTTAAAAAAAAAATAAAGCCTTGAAGGATTTTGTTTTCTAGTAGAAGCAGTAGTAACACAGACACATAAATAAACAATAAAAAATTAAAGTCAGGCAGGAGGGGCTTCTGGCTGGAAATCAGGGAGATTTCATGGAGGACGTAGGTCCCAGCTGCATGAAGCAGAACCTGTACCCCTTGTTTTGTTATCTCAGTTCTTAGCACAGTATCTGGCACATAATAGAAGCTTTTTATAAGTCCATGATTTTAAAATAAGTAAGTAAGTTGGCCCTAGATATAAGATGGTAAAAGTAGAAGTGAGAAAGGATACTGTCAATCCAGCTTAACTCAGCAAATACCACTGTCATTTACTCCAGGCGGGGCCCCGTGCCAGGCGGGGAGGACAGCATTGGCAAAGTGTGGAGACAGGAAAGCTCAGGGCGAAGTCCACAGGGAGCTTGGCATTCCTGGGTGTGGGGAGGGTGTGGGGAGATAAGGCTGCAGGGCAAGTGGAGACCAGTGGTGGAACGATCTTGAACGCTCGGGTTTGAGGGGAGAGATCCCCAGATGTGTCATTATTGTCTTTTTACTTCTCTTAAAGTATTGGTTGATATTGATTGATCATGTTCACTTTGCTAATACGAACAAAGAACAGTTAGACTTAAGAACACCAATATATATGTATATATATGGGTATTGCTGTGTGCTAGGAGCTGGGGTTGTCATTTGTCTCCATATGTTTCCAAACCGTGTAAGCAGTCTAAGCAGTCGAAAGATGTCTTATTTGTGTTTAAGACAGGGAACCAATTCTAAAACAATGTTTGGACACCTAGGCCAAATGAATTCCGTTGCAAGAGCCCGTTTCTAAACATTCACAGAATTTACAGATCTAACCGTCCTGAAGGGTTTTAGTCCTAGCCCTTCCTTCAGATAGCTGTAAATCCTTGCGGCAAATTGCTTGATTTAGATAGCAGGTACAAACAACATGTACATTTTATAGTTCTCTAAATCTCTATGCCTACATCTCCGTCTCTTGAGCGATCACCTGATGTAGGGGACAGGAGAAGGAGTCGAAGGCGGTGCTGGACTTTGGAATCTGCTGGACGTGGTGAGAAGCATGGCAGGGTCACTTCCTAGCTGTGTTGTCTTTAGGTGACGGGCTTAACTTTGAACCTCAATTTCCTCATGTATAAAATAACATGTCCTAACTCATTATGTCTGTAAGAAATTTATAAGAGCACCCATTTACTGAGTAATTGCCACGTGTTTTCCATTTGAGGAAACTGAGGCACAGAGACATTAAGTAGCACCCCCGTGGCGGCACAGCTAATGAGAGGTGGAGCTGGGTTTCCGATCTAGACTCTGTGACTCAGAGTTCACCTGCAGTGCTGCCAGTCTGTTTGTAAAGGCCCCTCCGCTAGCTTACCGTACAGGTGATGCTTGATAAGTGCTCATTTCCGCCTTTACCCCCCCAGGGCATTTGTGAAGTTGAAATAAGATCGCACCTCTCCCTTTCTAAAGTTCAAATACATTATCCACATGTAAGGGATTAAAAGAATTTCGGGCTCTAAATTTTTAGAGTAGTTAGAATTTGTAACCATTCCATGCTGATTGTATTAGTGATACAAGTTCAATGTAGAAAACTTAAAAAAATAAAAAGATGAAAGAAACCAAGACCATGCATAACTCCCGGGGACAGTAAAGTGGTTGGAATTTCAGTGAAGTGACTGCATTCCGCATTTCCTTGGTGTTTTGGGGTTTTTTTGTTTGTTTGTTTTGGGTCTTTTTTTTGCTTCATAATATTTTGATATTTTACAATAGGCAGATAGTATTTAGTAATTAGAAGAATCAATCTGTTGTCAGTGGGGATTGGAAAGCACTAGAAACAGCTCGCAAAATCCACGCGCTCCACGCTTGTAGGGTTTTTCTCCTGCGTGGAGTCGGCTGGATGTGAAGACCGGAGCTCACTTCTTACACACACAGGGCTTCTGCCCTGCGTGGATGCTAATGAACGTGATGGTTTGTGTTGCAGCTGAAGCCCTTACCACAGGTCTGCAATGTTCCGTTTTATTTCATCAGCCCGGTACTATGATAGGCAACAACCCTGCTTTACAGGCCACGGGGCAAATTTATCTCAGATCTCAAAATCAGTTAGTCCTGAAAGTTTTAATTTCTAGGTGAGATATGAAGATGCAGGGGGAAAAAGGAAAAATAATATTGAACAGAAGAGAGTGGGGCAGAGTTTGGGTTCATATTGGGTTCCTGCTGGAGTCTTAAGGAGTACATTTTATCCTCAGGTGTATTGCATAGTTAACAGCAAATTTTAGAAGAGCAAAGAGGTGGCTGGTGAAGTCTTTGAATGAAGGACTGTGAACATTCTTGGGTTTTCTCTGCTTGAAGAATCTCATATATTTGCAGCTTTGAATCAGAACCACTAAGATGTTAGCGTCTAGTTATTCCGGTATTTGCCAAAACACACCTTCCCTATCCATATGATGGGTGAAAGTTATACTCATGGCCTATTACTTGAGACTCTTAAATGAAGACGTCTGTAATGAAGTGAAGCAGGTGTTAAAGAAGTGGAATTCCCACGAGTGCATTTTGGGGTGTCTACGTGTGGTTGCTGTGAATGAAGTATCAGGAAGCGCCTGGAAGACGAGGCTGTTCGACGGGGAGGAGAGGCTGACCCCCAGGGATCCCATCCTGCCAGGGTTATCACTGAATGTCATCCCATGATCCTCTCTGCTTGGAAAGACATGGTTTTAACAGGCTGGGAACGAATCAATTTCTCTCCGGTTTCTTCACAGGAGTTTGAATAAAGGAAGCCATGACGATGCGAGCCCGGCTGCTTGGCGTGTGTCTCCTTGCACTTTACCTGGTAAGGGAAGAGAATGCTCTGTATTCGTTCAGTAGACTATTTCCCGACATCCTTCTGCCCCACCCCAGGGACGCAATGGCTATCATCACTGTAAAAAAAAAAAAAAAAGACAATCAAAATTAACTCTTTGTGTACCGAGGGCACATAGTTTACCCCAATGTGCTGTTTTTGATGAAATGGCTGAACGTTCTAGGTCCGACTTTGAACCAGGGCGGTGCTTTCTCCTCAGCTCTTAGAAGCCAGTGCCACTTCCTGGGCAAGGCGTCAGCAAAGCCACCTGCTCCACTTTAGACCTTCTCGTACAGGTCAGCGAGCCTTGGAAAGAAAAGTATACGCTGCATGTATTAGTCTACGTCCCTTAATGTGGACTTTTGTTTGTTTTTTTGCTTTGACCATGAGAAATCACCACCACCAAAGTTAAGAAAAGCATTTTCTCTGTTTTCAACCCTGCTCTGCTCTGCTCTTTTCTTTCCCCACATGGTTTGGAGTTTTCTGGCCAAATCTGTCCTTAGCCACTTGTTGAGCTAACCCTATCGACTCAGGCTTGGAGAAGCTGGAGCGGGGTGGAACCTGGGGAGACCAGCGCTCAGCCTTGGGTGGAGAGGGGGGTGCTGTCTTCGCTTTCCTCCGGAGGCTCGTACAGGTCCTACACTTGCCAGATTTGTTGTATTATGGAGCAGGACTATGGGGAAGCATTCACGTTCTCCTTAGAAGGAGCTCCTAGATCCTCGCACCTCTAGTCTTGGTTCCTGTCTTCTAGGACCCAAATATAACAGCGAATTTCAGGAAGCTCCAGGCAGCCCCCTAGAGCCCACGCAGTTCAAAATATTTAGAGTGAAATAGAGCCAAACTTGTCAACCTCCCAGAGCTTTCCTCTTGAGGGGGAAATCTGCGATCCTAACTTTGCAAGCAATGTGCATCTTTACCAACAGGGGCTCAATGCTTGTCGCTGGCATTGCCTAAGGCCTGGGTCAGACATCCCCACTTGACTTCTTTCTTCCTCTTACCCTCTTGAATGTCCTTTACTATCTGTATTATCGTAAGGTGGTGGTGAAGTCAGACCTAGGTTCCAACTTGGCATCGCCATTTACCAGTGATAGAAACTTGGATGACTAAGCTCTGAACCTCACTTTTCTGCCCTGTGAAATGGGTCTAATAAGAGTCCTTGCCTCATGTGGCAAATAAATGGGACAGTGCACTTATAAAGTCCTTGGATCAGTGACTGGCAGAGTCTAAATACTTGATAAATATTAGCTATCACTATGACTACCACATCTTAAATGTTCAGTGTCTACACTCATATGGACCCTGACCTTCATGAGGACGACTGTGTCTTAGTCACCTTTGCAGCCTCGGCACATAACACAGGGCCAGGAGCAAGGCAGGAATTAAATACAAACTTATAGACTTCTATTAGGAAACAACAGTGAGATTTAAGAGAGAGAGAAGATTCTACCACGATAATTTGATATTAGCTGGCTCATCTGGGCTTCTTGTCTGAGGAGACATGCATTTTTCTTCCTAGATAAAGGGTGAAAATAAATTTTTCTTTTCCCTACTCTCACCCCAGAGGGATTTCTCTCTGGTGTAAGAAAAACTGCCCAAACCACTGCTAGCCTCAAGAGCCCTGCCCAGGAGAGAGCCACGGGCACGGCTGTCGCTGGGAGAAGGAGGGAGGCTGCTACCTGTGTGCTGGGGTTTCAGGGACGTGCGGGGAGCCATTCCTCTCCTGCCTCCATCCCACCCCCGCACTCCCAGACCCTCTCCGGTGAAGACTGGACATTTAGTTGGAGCTTCTTTCGTTCAGCGCATAAGGCTTTATTCAGCAGAGGAAGTAATTTAAAATGAGTGCCAATCATTTACTCCATACTACGAGTGGCTCTCCTCTTCTTTTCTGAGAACTGGTTCTCATAGGGGTTTAGAAACGCTGCCTGGATACGTAGCCAGGGCACCGAAGAGAGAGCAAGTGATCCAGGGTTTGAGAAAGAGTGCTGTGTAGTGCAGCAGGGAAACCAAGGGGAAGCCAACTGTTTTAGGGTTTTGCCTGGGACGATGCTTCTTCCAGAAGGAAGAAGAATAAATGCTATAAATATAAATACTATGTAATCAAGGTAGAGAACTCTTGCTGGAAAGTACAATGAAGGTGGCTACCAGGCAGGCAGGTCTTGTCATTGCCTGTGTCCTTCCTGGCCTCGAAGGCAGTGCAGCAGCGTGGTTGGTGCAGGGGTGGGGCCTGGTGGTCCACCAGAGCTGGCACCATCCCACTGCAGCGCCGGTCATCTGTGCCTCTGCTATGGGACTTCTTTGGAGATACGTTCCTGGCAGTGTGGAGGATCAGAAGACATGGTGTGTGTGGAGGGTCTAGTTCCACAGCTGACATACAGGAAACACACAAAAATACCAGTTCCCTTCTCTCCCTACCTTTCGCCTGTTTGTGCAAGACAACTCTCACTTAAACCTTCTTGTCTTGCCGCAAGTTTCCGCCACGGCGTTCTTCCCGGTTCTGGCAGGATGGCCGATGACTCATGACGCGCACATGCATTTTGAAATCTTTATAGCTCAAATAGCCAGCTTAATGGTCAGGAGGAGAGACTGCTAGTCCTGATAAGAGAACCCAACCCAACTTTGAACCTTGCAATGGAGACTTATCTTTTTCTTTTTTTTCCTGATAGGAGAGTGAGCTGGTCCACCTAGGAGAAACGCAGGCTTGTTAGTGACATTTACCGACTAATGCAGATTTCCTATAGACGCCGTCACTGGTGTGAATGGAAAGCCTGGCTGCTTGCTGATGTGAGCAGAAGGTTGATGAGGGCGGTTTGCTGTTAAGCAGTAACCCCTCAAAAAACACTGCCTTCGTCCTGTACCAACCATGGCGGGGCCTTGTGCTCCGCCTTCCAGAGGACCTAATGGAAGTGGAGACAATGTGGAAAGAAGTGGGAGGGAGGAAGAGCCCCCAGATGATGATAGACCTTGAAAGGAACTGATGAGCTGAAAGTCTTGTCTAATTATTGTGCCAACTGAGATTGCATGTAGCTGCAAGCGACTTTAGAGAGACTTCAGTAAACAGAGGTTTATTTTTCTCGGATACCGAGAAGTCTGCCTCGGCGGTCCTGAGCAGCTTCAGCAGTTCTGTGACGTTATTGGAGATTTGGTGTCTTTCCCTTTGCTCCCCCATTATTTGAGCTGGTTTATCCCCCGTGGCTTCAAGATGGCTGCCACAGCTACAGACATGAGGTCCATTATCTGAGCTAGAATAATGGAATCAGGAAGAGGGCTGCCAGCCACATCTGTCCTTTTTCATCAGGAAAAGAAAGGCTTGACCAGAACCCTTCTCCCCCGTCCCTGCCTCCTCAAGCGGACTTCACCTTTTGTTTGTGAACCAGAACTGGGTCATTTGGCCACTCTCCCAGATGCAAGGGAGTCTGGGAAAGCAATCACTTGGCTCCCTAAGGGAGAGAGGTTGGAGATGGCTGGGGACAGCTAATCCAGGGGCCTGCCCCAGCTCTGAGGGAAAGGAGGCCAAATTCCAAAGCCCTCTGTGTTCTTGTTTATTGTTGATAACCCAGATCAACTTAATCAAGATTCAGTGAACTGAGAGATATAGTATAAGATCTTCTCCCCCATCATTTTATACTAGTTGTTTTGGGGTTATTTCCAGTGTTTCTATGGATTCTATTGATCTCCATAAAGAAATGGAAAACAAATTCTCTTCCCCTCAGTTCTTACTTTTCCAAAACCATCAACTTCCTGTATCACACTTCCGATTCTAACCTATCCCAGCCCTGAATCCCACCACAGGTAAGGAGACCTGGAGAGCCACTCAGGAAGGCGGGGACGTGGGGGAGGCAGGGCGGAACACCTGGTATGGGTTCTAGATCCCTCTAGATCCCCCGTCCCAAAGGGTTCCCTCCGCGGTGAGTTTATGGCCCGCTGTCTTTTCCCACATGCAGCCTGCTCCACTCTGCCTTGCGTTTCCCTTCGGTGATACAGTCGTGGTGGGAAATGAAAGGATGGCAGCAACTGCTTTTAAATACTCCATATCCTCTGGGGCTGGGAGTGGTGGGAGTCGCACCCTCCTGCACATCCTTCATGTTGCCAGTGTCTCGCCAGGATGTGTCAGTCACTCATGCTCCCCCTGGTGGGTAGCGGCGCGTGACGGCTAAGAGAGCCGGATCTGGAGTCGCAGGTTCGAATTCTGCTTCCTACCACTCCCGGGGCAAATTACGTAATCTCTCTGTGTCTGAGTCTCACCGTTTGTAAAACGGAGCTAGCAGTAATGATTTACCCCACAGGGTTGTTGTCAGGATTAAATGTGCTAAGGACAGGGCTCAGCATGAACTAATTTAGCAAGTGTGAGCTCTTCTGACTGTCATTCCAGCCTGCATTTGGGCATCCACAGGGGCTCTTGCCTGTCAAGTTCAGGGTCTTTTGACTTTGGAAATGTTGCAGGGCTATTCCTTGAATTAAATATCTTGTGCTTTAATTTTTCCTCTGCATGAGTATAAATTGCTAATTAAATGTTAGTAACAGGTTCAGTTCAAATTCAGATTCAAAATTTGACCAAATTTGACCAAAATTTACAATCAAACTATGTGCTAAGAAGAATTGTACTAAACGTGTCTACGTATTTTTTTTCCCTTATAAATTCAGTTGTCCTTGACGTGCCTAAACTCTAGTGTGCTGGGAATCTGCCACGGATTTCCTGAGAAACTGTGGTGGAGGGGTTTTAGGAGCTGATGTAAAACCATGTAGAATTTGATGGCGGAGTGGCATTGTGGGCAGATCACGAACTTTCCTTCAATCAGAGCCCAGTGTGTGTGCCATGTCAATTGCTTATGGATTTACTCTGGGCAAGTGGCTAACCTCTGTGAGCCTCATTTATAATAATATTCTCCCCACAGGGTGAGTGCGTGAATGGTTAAATGAGAAAAGCAGTGCAAGCCTCTTGGCAAATCACCTTGACATAATAGAGCCTCAACTAATATTAGACTCCTTCCTGCCTGTGTTGATTAGATTTCACATTATTTTGAGCCAGGTTGCAGTCTTAGGTTTCATACATCTGTCCTGGAAGCCATGATAAAATCAGTAAGTGGCACATATACATTCATACGAGAGGGTGATGCTAATTTTCTCTCCTTTTTTTTTAGACAACTGGATATGGCCAAGAGGGAAAGTTTAGTGGACCCCTGAAGCCCATGACATTTTCTGTTTTTGAAGGCCAAGAACCGAGTCAAATCATCTTCCAGGTAAAGGCTCCTCCTGACCACACCTTGATTTTGCTGGTTCACTCAGTGGACTTTTCTTCCTTTACCTCCTGTACAGCCAGAGATAAAATAGAGGCATGCAGATCTCATTATCAGATAGTTTCAGAAGCTAAGTTAAAACAGAGATGAGTGGCCTCAGTATCGTAGGGCGTCGTCCCTGACATCCTCCTTTGAACTTCCTCAACCGCATGGGGGGTGGGGAGAGCTCCCATCCCTGGGGCGGGGAGCTTGGTGCCTGTGGGCCCCGCCTCTCCCCCAGGGTTGGGGAGGGGACCCAGGCTCTGGAGCGGGACGGCCATCTGAGCAGCTGTCTATTGGAGGACAGACAGGCTGCTGGAAGCATTTGAAGATGCGGGTTCTCTGGAATGGCTTTCCTCATTGCCCGCCCTGAGCCCATCCCTGGGCCCTTGCCTGTGGGCTGGCCAAGCACACTGGGAGGCAGTCATCTCGTTTAGTTAGTTCACCTAGAAAAGCATCAGACTGAGGGGTGGATTGCAGGTGGGGGCCAGAGACTTCAGCTATAAAGGGGACTGGAAATGTAATGGAGGGAGGGAGAAAAACATACTACCCCACTGACCAGAATCCCCCGGGGAAGCCACTTGACCTTGGGATGGTTAAGGATGCTCTGATGAGTCTCTGAGGGGTGCCATGATCCCCACCCCACCACGCGCTTGTGGAGAAACAGGGTTGCTAAACTACCATCGAAGGCGGATGCTTTCTGTTAACTGCCAAGCATGTGTTTTCCTGGACATTTCCTGCCCACGCAGGAGAGGCTGAAAGCTGCCTCACCCCTCCTTCTCTCATTTGGCATCAGATTAATGCAGCGAGGCCCCATAGTATGAGCTGGCAGGGGTGCACGTGTATCTCTGCCCCCCTGCTGTGGGGTGTGATGGAGGCCTGACCTCTCCAGTCGGGGAAGTCAGGCCCTGAGGGAGTAGCAAACGCTTTGAGAGCTGGAGGCTGATAGGAAGAGAAGAACATTTCCGTGAAGGCACGGCATGGACACCTGCCATGCGCTGGGAGAGGGCGGGGCGTGCACGGACTCCTGGCAGAAGGCTGGAGTGGCTGGGAGCAGAGACCCTGGTGAAGCAGCTGGGAGAGGGGGCTGCAGAGGTAGGAAGGGTCCTGACTCGTAGGACTCTTAGATTTTCTCCCAAAGGCAGTGGGCCTGAATCGGGTTTCCATCCGGGGCTGCAAACTGGAAGGGGAAGCTGGAGAGGATGCAAGACCCTGGTTGGGAGTGTGTGGCTTGGGCTCACACAAGAATGATCTCCTTGTTTACGTCTCTGTCTTGCCAGGGAGCACTTAGTTATAGATTTCTCACATTTAAAAAATTCTTTCATTTGAAAGTATTTTTATGCTTCACAAGCTGGTAAGAATGTTGTGGGCTAGGCACAAGTTCATCTTCTTTATTTTTTTAAAATTGAAGTATAGTCAGTTACACTGTGTCAATTTCTGAAGTACAGCATGTTTCGGTCACACACATACATATATGTATTTGTTTTCATATTCTTTTCCTCATCTTGTATTAATGATGCATGAAGTGCCTACTGTTACAAGGCGCGATGCTGGGTACTGGAGATACAGGATGACCCCCAACACCATCCCTGCCCCCAGGGAGCTCTTGGGTAGTAGAAGAGACTAACAAGCAAGCCAACACATGCAGTGAAGGGTTCTGATTGGAGGCTGATGGGATGCAGAGGGGACGAAGGGCAGGTGGAGAAAGGGTGGTCGATTTTAAAAGAGGATGCTAATGGGTGAACAGAAGAGGTTTCATTGACCCCTAAACTGAGCATTTAAAGGTGAACAGGCACTCACAGACAGAAAGCTGGCCCTGAGTACAGCATGGGGAAAAGCATGGGGAGCGTGCACGTGCATTTAGCCAGACAATGAAAGATGACGGTAGTTTAGGGTGGGAGATAGTGTGCTGTCAAACATGGCGCTGCTGGGGTCCAGGGTGTGGTTGGGGGGTCTGGACTGGCTCTTTAATCTGTGGGAGGCTGCAGGCACCATTAGAGGTTAAGGAACGTGTAAAGGAATTAGACCGTGCATGTACAGACCTGCTCTGATCACTGTGGGTGTGTGATGAAGGGGGTGGGCCTAGAGGTGGGAGGGCTCTTGGGATGCTGTTTGCCACAGGCCAGTGGGACGTGATGGGGCCTGGTTTAAGTAAATACGAAGGGCAGTGGAGGGAAGGAGATGGGTAGGAGCAATGTGAGGGGTTACAGCCGCTGGGACTGGTTACTGAATGAGTGTCGGGGTGAGAGAAGGTGTTCAAAATAACTCGTAGGTCTCTGGCTTGCTGGACTGGCTGGTTAGTGGTGTTATTCAGAGAAAGAGAGAGAGAGAGAGAGAGAGAGAGAGAGAGAGAGAGAGAGAGAGAGAGA